CATAGAACAACTTGTTACTCGTTCTTTAGGTCATTCAGCATAGATTGGTTGGGGGTACAGAGAAGAACAGGCACACCTCCTGCCCTCTGAGAGTTCAGAATTTAGACCATTATACCAGGTAAAAACTGAGTGCTGAGTGGGCAGTCCAGTAAGAAGGCCTTGAGGCCATGCTGAGAAGCTTGGGCTGATTTTGGAGGGTAGCTGTTGAAGCATTTTTAGAGTATAGGAATGACATGTTAGTATATCACTGCAAAAGGTCATAAAGACATTTGTTTTCTCATCAAACTATAGGGGATAAAAACAGTACCAGGAGTCCTTTGATATCAGTCAGTTTAATTAGAATACCAAGCTGCCAAAATACTGCTCTGCCCACAGATCTTGAATCCCCATGTAAACGTTCAGCTAGTAAATAAAGACCTTACGGCTCCCATCTCCTACAGCAGAGAGATTCATGAAAAAGGCACCCCTCGCAGCCCCCACTCAAAACTCTCCCTCCCCATCCTGAGTCATGAGGTACACGTAAGACCTCAGACAAAGGAATTATGTACCCCTTGCACGGACACTGCAAAGATATATAAATTGTAAGAAATATAACTAGGAGGGAGCTTGTGCGTTGGTGCTGTTAAGCCCCATGTGCTCTGCCAGCTAATAAATTCTCCTTCCTCCAACAAAGATGTCTGAGCGTCCAATTTCCTCCGTCAGGTGTTGCTTCCTGCAACACTTCCATACTTTTCTTACATAAATATCTAAACATATACAATTAAAATGTAATCAAATTGTTACTGGTTCTGGGGAATCCTGGAACTCCTGGACCTCGGTTCTTGGCATTGGTCAACAAAGAATTGAAGGCAGACACCTAGAAATTTATTGTATGCAAGCCAGCTTTATTAAAAGCAAAAGTACACTTTTAGAAGGGAAAAGAGGCAGCCATGAGTGGTCAGCCTTGAAAACAAAGTAAGCTCACTGAAAAGGGAGAGTAAGCTGCCAAAAGTGGTCAGCCCCAAAGAACTTCTGCCAAGCAAAAGTACACCCGCAGAAGGGAAAGCAGACAGGCTCAAGGGAGAGCTGCCCCACCCATGGTGGGGCTGGGAATTTTATCTATTAATCTATTAATGGGTGGAATATTCATGATTTTGAATGGTCACTTCATGGAAAGAAGGTGTTTTTTTCTGGAATTAAGGGGATGCCCCTTTTCTTACCATGTTTGGGCTTTTCAGAACTGTCATGGCATCAGATGCATGATGGGTACAGCCTTAACTGCAATGCTAATTTATTACAATGATCGTATAATGAAGCAAAGGTGAATTCTAGGTCACACCAGATGTACTTCTGTGCATGCCTACGTTAGGGACTTTCCCTATTCCCATTATTTTCCCCTTTAGCAGGAAGTTTTAAACTACAAAACTGCTTCACTACTTCAAAGCTATTGTTCAAGGCTGTTTTTCATTTTAGTGGCTCTGGGGAGGGGTCCTGATATCATTACTACCTCAAAATAATAAATATTATTCTATAACTTGTTCTGCTTGTTAGTAGCATATTATATTCTGTAAACATCCCTCTTCCTACTTCAGTTTAAGGAAGGTACTTCATTAACTCATTAGATAAATGACAGCTAAATTTCATAAAGCATGTGACCCAATCCCAATGGCCCAAGCACTTCATACTATAATACTGCAGGTCTGTAAGAGACAAGGTGACTATCACCATGCTTTCCTGTGATAAAACACAAACTGTTATCTACTACCCTATATTTTATCATTTAAATAAGACACCTATATTGTGATTAGATTTCTTATTTCTCCAAGAATTTAAAAATAAAATCTTTCAATGTAGTTCTATTACTTTAGTAGACTTTGCCTAGTTCAATAAGATATCTATTTGTGAAAATAGCATATCAATATCAAATTTTATCTCTGTGCTTTGACAAGGCCTGGCACATGGAGAGACCTCAAAAATATTTGTTGATGCAGGGATAAAATAATAAAATAGAAATACTGTTTGAAAGAAACTATGTTATTATGACATCTCAGGTACAGACAGGAGGCTTTATCTATTTAGTTACGCTACTAGTTTGCCCAACTAAAAACTATCTGTCAGAAAATTACACTGTTCATACCGGAGCCAACTCTTTTTTTGTAGCCATCTTCCTTTAAAAAAAATAATATTTCTTGAGTCTTTTCAGATTATAAAATATCTCATTCATTATAGAAAACATGACTGCAAAGAAAGAAATAGAAAATGAAAAAGAAGGTGGCCATGTGCTATATCCAAGTTGCTTTATAACATTTTAGTGCAACATAATTTGAGGCAGTATTCTTTGAGAACTAAATCATAAATTTAAACACTACTAATCCCTGATGTTGGTAAGGTTTTCTTAAGCCAATACATATATTTCAGATGTAGTTTGTATCTTTGCATCATTAATATTAATTATTAATAGCAATTTCAAAGAAAAGAGTGTCTTTGACCTGATTCGACAAAATGCCACACACTCAGCAGTATTTCATCTGTTCCCACCTTCCACTTCTTCAGAGTAAGTAACAAAGAAAGATAAACTTACTAAAAACAGCTTTAAAAATCTGATATATACACTGATATGACACAGAGTATATTCAGCTTCATATACATAAACTAAAGAGTGGGGTTTTCAGAGACTGGGTAAATTTTCCGGTCACTGTCTCTCATTTCGTGGATTCTTAGAAAGCCATCTACATCTTAACACTCAATAGTTGTAAGTACCATCTCATGCTGATGACTTCCAAATCGTTACTGTCGGCCCTGTCTTATCCCTGACCTCCAGGCTTATATAACCTATGGCCTATTTGAACCTATACTTGGATATTTAAAACATACCTCAAATTTAATAAGGCCAGCATATAACTCATGAAATTCCCCCCTTAAACTTACCTCCTTCCCATACTGGTCTTTCCATCTCAGTAAATTGTTCCACATCCACACAACTTTTTAAGCCAAAAACCCAGTGCTATTCTTGTTTCCTTTTGTTCTTTCCTTCTTTACACATCATCTAGCAACGAGTTCTGTTAGTTGTACTTCCAAATTTTACCCCAAATGCAGCCACTCTTCTCCAACTATATTACCAATGGACCTCTCCAAGCCATCACATCTCTTGCTTAGATTAAGCTGTAGCTTTGTAACTGGTATACCTACTTCTACTGCTTCTCTATATAATCCACTCATGACTACAGCAAGGTGATCTTTTAAAATCATAAATCAGATTGCATCACTCTCCATCTTAAAACCCTTTCATAGACACTTAGTATGGAGAAAAGCTTATCATGAAACTGAGTATAAAATCCAATTTTCTTATCCTTGTTTGAAAAGCCTAACAAAGTCTGGCCCAGCACAGCTTTCTGATTCATCTTGCATCACTGCCAACTCCAACTCCGCCAGAGAGATCACATGAGACCTCGGTACTTTAGCTTAACCATCTTACAAAATGCTCTGACCCCAAGCTTTTGCATATGGTGTTGCTTCTTAGTATTTAAGTATCAGTTATGAAAAAATCATCTCAGAAAAGCCCTCCTTTTTATGAAATCTAGAATAGCCAACACAATATCTAGCAAAACAATATACATATTTACCCTTTTAAACATCAGTCCACTTATAGGAATCCATCCCAAAGAAACACTCGCAATAATATACACAGACAACCAGACACTACATGCCTCCTGCTGGAAGTATACAATACCACCAATGAAATAATCTTGAAATGCAAACAAACACACAAACACACACACACACACACACATACACACTTGAATCTATTCAGTCCTCTCTTGATCTAACTACCAATTCATAGGAAATACAGGAGAGGAAAATGTAAGCAGCAAAACAAAATATAAATACAGGGAACTAGGCAGGATATATAATCCATTTTCTTCAACAAAATAAGTTGCAAGGAGGAAAAAACATATGGAAGAAGAACTAACAGATTAAAATAAATTTAAGAGAAAAATAATCAAATTACAATGAATGGTCCTTATTTGGATCCAAATTCAAAAATACTGCTGAAATAACTGGTCAAGTTTGAAACCTTTTATGTTCCAATACCTAAAGATTACTGTTAAAGTTGTTTAGTTATGAAAACAGTATTTTGAATAGGTGTTTAAAATAAGTGCATATCTTTTATATATATTGAAACATCGTTATGAATAAATGATATAATGTGGAGATTTGCTTCAAATAATAGGTAACAGCAGAGAAAATGGGTAGGGGTGTAGATGAAATAGGAGTTGATAATTTTTGAAGCTGGGTGATGGATGAACGGGGTTCATTAGACTAAAGTCTATTTCTGAATAAGTTTGAAGTTTTCTATACTAAAAATTTATTTAAAAGCCAATCAATTACTCAATATAACACTATTTTATTTTTCAGTATATTAATGTTATTGCAGTTAACCCTTGAACAATATAGGTTCAAACTGCACAGGTCCACTTAGAGGCGAATTTTTTCAATAAATACTATAAATATATTTTCTCTTCCTTATGATTTTCTTAATAACATTTTTCTTTCCTCTAGGTTACTTTATTATAAGAACACAGTACATAACATAAGAATACAGTATATAACATGCAAATATGTGTTAATCAACTGTTTATGTTATCAGTAAGGCTCTGATCAACAGTAGGCTATTAGTAGTTAAGCTTTTGAGAAGCCAGAAGTTATACATGGATTTTCAACTGTGCAGGGGGTTGGCACTCCTAACCCTGCATTGCTCAAAGATCAGCTGTATGTAGTTTTTAATAATTTTGTGTTGGTTGCCTACCTCTCACTAAAATATAAGCTTTGTGAGAACGAATGCTTAGTCTTTACCATTATTATCCTCAATGCCTAGAATAGTGCCAGGTTCTTGATTAATATTTCTGAGTGAATAAACAAAACATACGGGATCTCTTGTAGAGTTTTAAAGATTTTTAACTCCATTACGGTGAACAAAGCTTCATGTGAAATGTACACAGCAATAGCCAGCACCAGCTTACCTTTACTTCGATGAAGTCAGGACTCCCTAGGGACACCAACTCAGCATAGGCTTGGAGTTCATCCACATTCCACGCTTTCACTAGAGTCAGTCTGTAGACAGTACGTTGTTGCTAAAACAAAGGAAAAGCCAACTTTGTTTTTATTTTGGTAGAAGTCATACCTAGGAAGACTTTCAAATTTCTTCAACCCATAGAGAACCCAAGTAAGGTGAAGTCCAGCACGAACTTATATCAACTGAAGTTATATTATGTAGAAAGATGAAAAAAGTGTAAAGAAAGCAATAAGATTCCCATAAACCTTATAATAGTGCAAATATTGGCATATTTCTTTCACTCACAATATCTAACACCGTATCAGGTACCCAAAAGTTTCTTGAGAATTACATACTGAATTAGCAATAAGACAAGAATAAGAATTATGAGATAGTATACAAAAAATAATTACTTGTCAGTGATATTTTAGACTGTCAAAAATTAATTCAAATAACAATTCGTCTTCCAGGTACCAATCACTCAAGTTGTTTATGATAGGAATTTCTAATTACTCTTGTCCTCTTTTCTGCATTCTCATTATTTAATGATCTCTTGTTAGCAGAACACGCACATTTACAAACTGTCAATGTTGCCATTTGTTTGCCATATAACCAAAAGAAGTACTGGTTTTCTGAAAAGCAATTAGACAATAGTCATCGAAGTCTTTTAAAAGTTTATACCCTTTGACTTTGTAGCTCCCTTCCAGCACCCAAGACAAACTATTACAAGTTCAGAGACTTATTTAAACATTATTAATGATAGTTTAAAATCTAAAGGAATGGTGGGGGCAGGATATGTGATTTGCCTATAACCAATCAAATATATCAAAGGCAATATGATGCATGTGGTTATGTGTACATAATTACATCCACCCACCTGCAGCAAGAAACCAGTAATACCTATGCTGCTAAACCTCCAACCATGCTGTAAGTAGCAGAACTCAAAATACTCCAGAGAAAAACAAAGTGAGGTGAGAGAGAAACAAAGTGGTACCAATCTCTTTACTTTTGTGTTTGATGATTTCCATGATTAGCAAAAAAGAAGAAACACTTTAAATCTTTAATAAAGAAAACCAAAAGATATTTAATGAATAGTATTAGGCAGCCATACAAGAAAATGTACTCAAAATTATTATTTAAATGCAGTATATAATGAAAAGATAGAAATCATCCAGATTTCCTTTACATAGCTAGAATTCACCAAATGCTAAAAACAAAATGGTAAGACTGCAGACCAATCTCACTTTTACTTATATACGCAAAAATCTCATAAAAATTTTAGCAAATAAAATTCAACATTATGTTAAAAATTCTAGGAATGCAAAGATGATTCACTATTAAGCTATATATTAATAGAATTCATCACATTGATAGTTCAATACAGAAAAGCCATGCAATCATCTGCATAGATACACAAAGACATTTGATATAGCTTAAAAGCCATCTGTAATTTGAAAACAAAACATATCGAAACATATCAAATAAACATATTGAAAACCATTTGGTAAACTCAAAAATTAAAAAAAACACATCCTTAACATAAAGAAAACACTCTCTAGTCAATAGTCAATGTTTTTAGTGGTTTAAAAGAGAGGCATTCCCATTAAGTCAGACTAACAGAAGGATGCCCACTCTGTTACTTTTATAAACACATCTCTGAAAGTTAAAATCAAAGCAATAAGGCAAAAACAAGAATTACTGGATAGTACATAAAAAATACATACTTGCAAATGATATAACTGGCTTCTTGGAAATCTAAGAAAAATTAGATTATGTTCAAATAAAAAATAAATAAACAGCTTTTCTAGCATAGTAGTGGGGTAAATATGGACTCTCAGGCCAGATTAATCCCAGACCACATGCTAGCTATCTTTACATCTATCCTCAGTTTCTACCTGCGTAAAATGAGGATTTTACATAGGATTAAAAGTGTTAATCCATGTAGCACTTAGAACTAAGCCCAGCAGCAGTTAGTCATATCAAGTATTAGCTACTATATGCCATTATATGCTGCATATATACAATTACAATTTGCAAGGCAAAGAAAATTCTACTTGGAATTGTAAAATACATCTTTAAAATACCTAATGATTAATTTATGAAAAAACATGGACAGTAAATAAACTAAACTTTCTGAGAGACCATAACATAAACTCGCCTACATAGAGAGCCATGATAGATTTATAAATATAATGTAATGCCACAATGTAATAAACTGGCAATGATATCAAGAGTTAACAATGAGTTAGCATTTACTATGTGCTAGGTGTTGCTGTAAGTACTTAATATCTTACCCCAAACTCCAATATTTGTCTAATCTTTACAATTCTTACAAAATAGTTTTGATTATTATCTTCGCATTACAATTACAGAATTGAGGCCTAGAGCTATTAAATTTCCCAAAATTTACACAGCTGGAAAGCAGCAAAGCCCAAATATGAACCCAAGTGGTATGAATCCAGGGCAGGCCCTCTTTTACTTTACTAAACCTTTTTAAATTGTGAAATGAAACATATAAAAAATATATACATAAAACATGAATGTATATATAGCTCAAGGGATTAAGATAAAGAAAACACCCATCTACTATCCACTCCCTATGCACCCAATATATTTAACATCCTGACTTTAACATTATAGTTTAGATTTTTGCCTATGTTTGAAATTTATATAAATGGAATCATGTATTCTTTTATGTATTGCTTCTGTCATTCAACATTGTATTTATAAATTCGTCCATGTTCTGTATGTTGAGATTTGTTCATTTTCTTTCTCATCTAGTATTCTATTATATGAATATACAACAGTTTATCAAACATTCCCCCGATGACAGACATTTGGATTATTTCCACTTTTTAGCTATTATAAAACAATGCTGTTTTCTCTTATAACACTAAAGTTTACTTGTGCTGTTTTAAGAAACTGTATGAAATGCTATTATGCCATATATTCTTTTATGTCTGGTTTCTTTCACTGAATTTGATGTATGTAAGATTATCCAAGCTGTTTTATGTAGCTGTAGATATTTTCATTACTGTTTAATACTCTATTTTATGAATATACTACTAATAAAAGTTGTTTGTTCTCAGTTGGGACTCTTAGAAAATAATGTTGCAATGAGTATTACTGTACTTGATTCTTGATGCACAATGGCACATATTTTTTCTTGGATGTGCCTAAGAGTGGAAATGCTGGGTTATAGGATGTGTATACATTCAACTTTAGCAGATACTGTAAAACTGATTCCCAAAGTCATTTTACCTGCAGTGTAACAGAGTTCCAGTATTTTTGCTTCTTCAACAACTCTTGCTGTTCTTAGTTTTTTAAATTTTAGCCACTTTTGCATTGTTTTAGTCTGTATTTGCCTGATTACTATTGAAGTTGAGTATATTTCTGGCCATTTGGATCTCTATTCTTGTGAAGTACCTGTTCAAGTGTTTTGAATATTTCTCCATAGGGATATCTGTCTTTTTTCTGCTGGACCCAACGCCCGCCTCTCTCCCACCCCAATTCTTTATACATTCTAGATATAAGAGCTCTGTTATAAATGTGTTGGGAACGTTTTCATCTACTTCATGGCTTTCCTTTTCACTTTCTTCATATTATTTGATCAATAGAAATAAGTAATTTTAGTACATTAACCTTTTAATCTATAGCATGCTTATGTTCAGACAGCCAAAGACAAAGAGAAGCATATGGGATTACTGAAAAAGGAATGTTATTAGATTCAATTTGATTAGATTTTATTTCAAATGATCAACTTCACATTTGGGTTTCACTGTGTCTGTGGTGAGCTTGCTCTGGTGTCAACTGTGAGGGTTTAAACATGAATCTCTGTGCCTCTGTAAAGTAGGGAGAATACTAGTATCTGTATCTTATTATTGTAAAGTTAAAAGAACTAAAAGAAATAAAAGACTGAGAACATGGTCCAGCACCTCAAAAAAGTATGAATAAATTTCAGCTACCATCATTACCACAACTACGTGCAGCTTCACAGATTCATTCATTTACAGAGGCATCAATTCAACCAACAGTCACTGGGTCTCTCTATATACCAGGCATATTTCTAGGTGCTGAAGTTACAGAAGTAAACAAAGCAAAGTGCTGACTGTTTGTAATTTACATTCCAATCTAGTAAATAAACAAAACCGGGGGGCGGGGGGTGGGAAAGAGCAACAATACAGTAATACCAAAAGAGGAGAGGAGCCAGAGGATAGTGCCTTTTGCACTATCACTGCAATGTATAAAAACCAAATTAAAAAAAAAATGCACACTTGTTCTTGATAAAGCAATCTAGAAAACACACACAAAAAGTGAATAGAAAAAAAAAAACTGAATACTGACCAAATCTTACCCTTTGTCAGAAATTTAAATCTAACTACTTAAAACAAACAACTTAAAATTAAAGCAATCCCTCTTTGATGACTTTGTTTCTAAATGCAAAGGAACATTTAATGCCTCTACTAGAAATTAGGCAATCTATCAGTCTTTAGAAACCATGCCTATTCTTGAATTGGCTTCAATTGACCTAATTTAATACTAATTTTATGGGAGACAAAACAAAATATGTCAATATGACAGGTGAAATAAGCAAATAATGAGAAAATAAGTTCAAAAATATAACTCACGATGCAATCAAATGAAGCATTTTTTAATATTCAAAAGAGATGAGCAGGAAAACTTATAAAATTACTCCCAAAATAAATTAACTAAGTAACCAATTTAAACCTTAATGAACTGAAAAAAGCAGATCAAAGAAAGAGGGCAAAGACAATGTTACAGCATTCGGTGAAGAAAAGCTGATCCAACACTATAAAGTGTTCAAACATTTGCATTATGTAAGTTTTAGAAGGAGAGGAGAAAATGGCAATATCTGAAAAAAAAAATGGTCAAAAAACTTTCCAAATTTTATTGAAAAACATGAATCTACACATCTAAGAAGCTCAATGAACTCCAAGCATGATAAACTCAAAAAGATCCAAACTGAGACACATTAAATCAATCTATCAAAAGACAAACACAAAGAGAATCTTGAAAGCAAGACAGAAGTGATTATTCGTGTACAAGGGATCTTCAATA